GATCAAATTTATTTATTCTTGATCTATTTAATTATCTTATTTATGTGTTTGGTAAAATGATTTGAATGATAGTTTTATTTGAACCATAGAGATTATCATGATAGATAAGATTCCGGACATCAATTTTGAGAATAGATAAGATTGTGGTAATTATTTATTACTTTTTCACTCTATGTAGCATATCGTTATTGCCTTGTTTTAGGATGATGTATAGTTTTAGCTAGAAAAGTAATATTGAAAGAAAAATGTGCTCTATGGCACTTACAAAAACTTAAATTCAGTTCTTTTGGGTTAAACTTTTCAATCGGAGAGGCTTGTTTCATTTCATAGGAAAGTCAAACAATGTTTCAACCGTTTGTATATGATGAATTTTCTTTTGACAAATATTGCAAATCCATGGCCAATGATGGAACTTGGGGGGGAACCTAGAGTTGCAAGCGGATTTTTTTGTCATGCAATGCAACATCTGCATTTATAGTGTATGCCTTTCTTTCTTCCTACATCATTAATGAAAGTGTCTCATGATTTCTTTTGGTTTCTATTATCATTTGTTATACCTACTTAAACAAACGTCTTTACTGTTTTAACTAAAGTAATAGTTTCTTACACGAAATTATTTTTTTGATATTGTCTCATAATATTTAGAAAATTAGCAATTTCTTATCTTGTTTGTGTTGTCTACATCAACGTGTTTGTACATTTAGAATTTCACTGACAATAAAGCTCAAATTATTCGTCTCTAAGGGCTAACACATACACGTGAATGTGCACTTGCAAAGGCTTGATTTTTGCACAACTATCAATCTAAGATACATCTGGGATCACACTGGACAACACTTATAATTTGTTAGCCACTTTCCATATAAAATGGTTTATCTTCTAAGGTATCTTCTTCAATCTAAAGCTAACAAAATATTCCTAAGCATACCAATATCAAGTTCATATTCTTTTCTTTCCTCTTCAAAATAAAAAATTTTACCGAAAACTTATTCACATCGGTCAAAATAATTTATTTTTGATCTATCTAATTATCTTATTTTTGTGTTTGGTAAAATGGTTCGAATGATAGTTTTATTTGAACCATAGTGATTATCATGATAGATAAGACTCTTGCCATCAATTTTCAGAATAGTTAAGATTGCGGTAATTGATTTATTACTTTTGCACTCTTTGTAAGATATGGTTATTGTCTTGTTTGAGGATGATGTATAGCTTTATCTAGAAAAGTAATATTGAAAGGAAAATGTGCTCTATGGTATTTACAAAACTTAAATTCGGTTGTATTGGGTTAAGCATTTCAATCAAAGAGGCTTGTTTCATTTGGTAGGAAAGTCAAACAATGATTCAATCGTTTGTTGAAGATGAATTTCCTTTTGACAAATATTGCAAATCCATGGCCAACGATGGAACTTGGGGAGGAAACCTAGAGTTGCAAGCGGATTCTTTTGTCATGCAATGCAGCGTCTGCATTTATAGTGTATGTGTTTCTTTCTTCGTGCATCATTAATGAAAGTATCTCATGATTTGTTTTCGATTCCATCATTTTTAGTTATACTTACTTATCCAAATGTCTTTCTAGTTTCAACTAAAGTAATAGCTTCTTAGGAAAAGTTGTTTTCTCGATATTGTCTCAGAATTTGAAGAAAACTAGCAATTTTGTATATTGTTTATGTAATCTACATCACCCGGTTTGTACATTCGAAATTTCACTACTAATGAATCTCAAATGATTTATTTTAACAGCTTCTACGTAGACGTGAATGTGGGCTTGCAAAGGCTTAATTTTTGCACAACTATCATTCTAAGATACATTTGGGATCACAATTGACAACACTTATAATATTTTATGTTAGTTATTTTCCTTGTAAAATGGTTTATATTCTAAGATACCTTCTTCAATCCAAAGGTAACTAAAAATTCCTAAGCACAAAAAAATCTAGTTAATATTCTTTTCTTTCTTGTTCAAAATAAGAAAATTGTACAAAAAATTGATTGGTATCGGTAAAATTTATTTATTCTTGATCTATGTAATTATCTTATTTATATGTTTTGTAGAATCGTTTCAAATATAGTTTTATGTAAACCATAGTGATTATCAAGATAGATATGATTCCGTATATCAATTTTGAGAATAGTTAAGATAGCGGTAATTGATTAAATAACTTGCATTCTTTGTAGCATATGGTTATTGTCTTGTTTGAGAATGATGTATGGTTTTAGCTAGAAAAGTAATATGGAAAGAAAAGTGGGCTCTATGGTATTTACAAAACTTAAATTCGGTTGTTTTGGGTTAAGCTTTTGAAATGGAGAGGCTTGTTTCATTTCATAGGAAAGTCAAGTAATGTTTCAACCGTTTGTTGTAGATGAGTTTCCTTTTGACAAATATTGCAAATCCATGGCCCACAATGGAACTTTGGGAGGTAACCTAGAGTTGCAAGCGGATTCTCTTGTCATGCAATAAAGCTCAAATTATTCGTCTGTAAGTGCTTCTAAATACACGTGAATATGCAGTTGCAAAGGCTTTATTTTTGCACAACTATCATTCTAAGATATATTTGGTATCACACTCGACAACATTTATAATATGTTAGCCACTTTCCTTATAAAATGGTTTATCTTGTAAGGTATCTTCTTCAATCTAAAGCTAACTAAATATTCCTAAGCATGCCAAAATGTGCTCTATGGTATTTACAAAACTTAAATTCGGTTGTTTTGAATTAAACTTTTCAAATAGAAACGCTTGTTTCATTTCATAGGAAAGTCAAGCCATATTTCAACTTTTTGTTGAAGATGATTTTCTTTTGACAAATATAGCAAATCCATGGCCAACGATGGAACTTGCGGAGGAAACCTAGGGTTGCAAGCGGATTCACTTGTCATGCAATGCAACATATACATTTATAGTGTATGCCTTTCTTTCTGCATGCATCGTTAATGAAAGTGTCTCATGATTTCTTTTGGTTTCCATTATCGTTAGTTATACCTACTTATCCAAATGTCTTTACTTTTTCAACTGAAGTAATAGCTTCTTAGGTGAAGTTATTTTGTTGATATTGTCTCAGAAATTGTAGAAAATTAGCAATTTCTTATCTTTTTTGTGTAGTCTACATCGCCGTGTTTGTACATTCAAAATTTTATTGATAATGAAGTTCAAATAATTCATATCTAAGTGCTTCTACATACATGTGAATTTGCACTTGCAAAGACTTAATTCTTTCACAACTATCATTCTAAGATACACCTGGGATCACACTGGACAACACTTATAATATATGATGTTAACCACTATCCTCATCAAATGGTTTATGTTCTAAGGTACCTTCTTCATTCTAAAGGTAACTAAATATTCCTAAGCACACAAAAATATAGTTCATATTATTTTCTTTCTCGTTCAAAATAAGAAAATTGTACCAAAAATTGATTGGAATCGGAAAAAAATATTTATTCTTGATCTATTTGATTATCTTATTTATGTGTTTTGTAGAATGGTTTCAATTATTGTTTTATGTGAACCATAGTGATTATCATGATAGATATGATTCCAGATATCTATTTTGAGAATAGTTAAGATTTGTAATCAATTAAATAACTTGAACTCTTTGTAGCATATGGTTATTGTCTTATTTGAGAGTGATGTATGGTTTTAGCTAGAAAAGTAATATGGAAAGAAAAGTGTGCTCTATGGTATTTACAAAACTTAAATTATGTTGTTTTTTATTAAGCTTTTCAAATGGAGAGGCTTGTTTCATTTCATAGGAAACTCAAGTAATGTTTCAACCGTTTGTTGTAGATGACTTTCCTTTTGACAAATATTACGAATCCATGGCCCACGATGGAACTTTGGGAGGTAACCTAGAGTTGCAAGCAGATTATCTTGTCATGCAATGCAACATATGCATTTATAGTATATGTGTTTCTTTCTTCTTGTATCATTAATGAAAACGTCTCATGATTTTTTCTGGTTTCAATTATCGTTAGTTATACCTACTTATCCAACCGTCTTTATTGTTTCAACTAAAGTAATAGCTTACGCGAAGTTATTTTGTTGATTATGACTCAGAATATTTAGAAAATTAGCATTTTCTTATCTTAATTGTGTTCTCTAGATCACCATGTATGTACATTTTGAATTTCAGTAATAGTGAAGCTCAAATTATTCGTTTGTAAGTGCTTCAACATACAATAAATGTGCATTTGCAAACGCTTAATTTTATACAAGTATCATTCTAAGATACATCTGGGATCATAGTGGACAACAATTATAATATTTTATCCACTTTCTTATAACATGGTTTGTGTTCTAAGGTATCTTCTTCACTTTAAAGGTAACTAAATATTCGCAAGCACACCAAAATTTAGTTTATATTCTATTCATTGCTCTTCAAAATAAGAAAATTGTACCAAAAACTTATTGACATCGGTCAAATTTATTTATTCTTGATCTATCTGATTATTTTATTTTTGTGTTTGGTAATATTGTTTGAATTATAGTTTTATTTGAACAATAGTGATTATCATGATAGATAAGATTCCGGCCATACTTTTTCAAAATAGTTAAGATTGCGGTAATCGATTTAATAAATTGCACTCTATGTAGCATAGAGTTATTGTCTTGTTTCAGGATGACACTACCAAAAAACAGGGTATTAACCACGGGCGGAGGGTTTGTAAAAATATCATCGTAACAAATAGATATTTTGGTTACGATAAAATCCGTGACAAAAGAATTTTGTTCGGTCAACGTTTCAGGCACAGTTGTTACGCAGAATTTTATGTAACAATTAAGAATATTGAAAACTTTGGTCAAAATAATATTAGTTATGATCAATTTTCGTAACTAATGATATTAATTTATTTTTTTCCATTTAAATTTAATATTTGAAATTTTTAAAAAATTAAAAAAAATTTATATCTAATACTTATAAATGAACAAATGAACGGATGCCTACCTGAAAATCCTTTTATACCCTTGAATGTGTTTGTTATTTCCGTTTCTATCCCCTCTCTCTTCCCTAACCCTAAAATCCTAGCAGCCATTCCAGAAAGCGTCGCTACCTCTATCTACTCCACTGTTCGTCGCGCACCAGCCGCCTCCTGCTCCTTAGGTACATCATTTTCCTCTCTTCATTTCTTGTGTGATTGCTATTATGTTTTGATCTTTCTTTCTTCGCTTTCCGTGATTTGATTTGTAATCTCTATTTTTTCTTTCTTGTTGTTCATTTTAAGGTGGGGACATACTAGAGGATCTCGTGATGTTCGTGTTCAGCTGCCTAGCACCGCCGGAGATAAGGAAATTGGTGTGCCTCAACAGCGCATTTTGCGGCGCCGCTTCATCTGATGAGGTTCGGGAATCCAAGCTTCCGTGTCATTACCACCAGCTGCGCGATTTCCTCTCGCAATCCGATGTCTATCAACGCTTGTGCAAGAAGGATATCTCCGCATTCCTTTCCCGCCCCCTTCCGATTTGATGACGGAAAACAAGGACTATAATTTCCGAGCATCTCAGTTAGTTTCCTGGCAAAGATAAAGAAATGATGTTATGTCTGGTCTATTCCAAATTGAATCGTCATGTGTTGGGTTTTACTTCTCTGTTACATTTACTGATATCCCGAACTCTGATCTCTGTCATTTCCCCTTCTTCCTTCTTTCAGTTAATCAATTATGTAATTTACACTGTAAAATTGCTCATCAAACTTATGTGAACCCACTTCAATTGTAGCACTGTTTGGAGAAATACAAAAAACTCTGGCTACCTCATTCTGCAATGTCGTGCAGTTTCCAGAGGTCCTGCTGAAGGTGCAGTTCCCATACGAGGAATTAATCGTCTTTTCTTTGGTTCTTTGTTTGTTTATATTTGTAAATTTTTTTTTCGATCAATTTATTTCACAGTGCTTCAAATTACAGTATTGTTGATATTAAGAAACCATATATTCGGTTGGAGAATATATAGATGTGATTCTGAGTCGTTTCCCTGTCAGAAAATGGCCATCGAATATTACTGCAGAAGGTGACACACAAAAGAATAAGTATAAAGTAAGCATTGCTGCTCATAAACAAACATCCCTCTTGCTTCAGTTGTTTGCATTTTATTATAACTTTTTTTAATAACTTTTTCGACAATCTCTCCAACTCTGTTATTGTCACCTGTTGCATACTCTCCCCTCTATTTCTTCTGGAATGTGAAGTTAGATTTCGAACGCTATTGCAGGCTAGAATTGCAATGGTGGGAAAGTATGTTGGATTGACAAATTCTTATTTATTTGTTGTGAAGGTGAGAAATATTTGTCTGGTAATTCCATGAAGTCCAACATTGTGGTGATCTGTGTCATAGGGTGAGGGGCTTTTAGATAACATCAGGTTTACCTGATGGATACTTATAATTTTAAATATGCTGGCAGGTGTTATTGCATGCTTGCATTTCATGTTCGTTGAAGCCAGATAGTGAGTAGATTGTAGTTTATGATCTTGAAGACGACACAAAAAATTCAGTGAGATGCTCATTTTCTATTGCATTTTTACATTTTTCAGTTAATTTAGGAGTTGTCTTAGGTCATATATTTTTGCAGAAACCTGAAGCTCATGCAACAGCTTGGGAAAAGCTGAAGGTATATTATACTACCACTTCTCTTTTGTCCCCTGATTCTGCACTTCTTCTCGGATACCGTTCACATGTTTCTGTCCATGTTTAGTAGATAAGATGCTGGGCTTTGTGTAGCTGAATTTCATATGGTTTGTTGGTTTTGTCAAATGGACTGTAAACACCATATATAGTATTAGATGATGTATTTCCTAAAGTAATACATATTGCTGTTAAATTTCATATTTTTAATGATGTATTTGAAATATTTCTTGCACTAATATATAGTAATCTTGTTCTTGTCTTATTAAATAAAAATGTTAATAGTTTATTGCTTAGCATATTCCAGATGGGTTTGCATAGTCATATTAGGATTTCACTCTCTTCGTCCGTTGCATTCTCAAACCGATATTTTGAGGAACACAAAAAATTGGCTTTTTTAGGTTCATACGGACTAGTCGATTTGGGGAGTGGGTTTGGGTATGCCATGATTGTTTTCTCTTTGTTCAGGTCTGTGTCTAGAGCAAGCTATTGAGGTCGATTTTTTTAATTTTTTTTGCAGAAAGATCATTTGTTCATGATATCTACTAAGACTCTAGGATTTCTCCGGTGATTGGTATGATTTAATTGAACTAAATTTAGAACGAGATTTCATAGTTGAAATCTACACAGCGGGTTGTCCTAGGTTATGTGCAACTTTTTTTATCTTAATTTTAATTGTGGCTTATTAATATTTTTCATCCTAATTGTTATGTTATAATATTTGATTGGATATATGCTTATTTATATTTTAGAATAATTTAAATTGAAGGGTAACCCTTGTTTACCTATTTCTAGAATTGAATATGTCTATCAAAAAGTGTGGCGTGTAACATCTATGATGCAGCCTGTTATATCAACGATTGGATCTTATTTTTTGCAACCTAAGGATGCATGTTGATCTCGCTATGCTCATATAGTATGATATTACATGATTGAAACCAATTGTTTTGTTTCTTGCTAATCTCAACCTACAATCATCGAAATCAATTTGTACAATTAATACCATTGCACTTATTAATTTCAACAATATGTGAGCGCTAATGTTCCTTTTCTGTAGACAGTTCCTTAGGCTCCTGGAGGTTCTAAAGTTTTCCGAAACCCAGCATCACCTTCTACAGTAAGTGATTGACAACTTATGTGGATTATGTTTTAAGAATATTTCAGCATTCAACTTTCTTCAGCTATGGCTGTTGACATCTCATTTTGTTTATTTGATTTTGCACTGCTGTTATGTAATTTTGGATAAATTCCTTAAATGTGTACCACCATAGTCTCTAATTTTTGTATCTTCTAGCTGCAGAAAATTCTGAATACTTTATAAAACTGGAGGTCATCTTATCTAAATCCTGCATGATTAGGGCTTCAAGTATCTCATTGTTCATTTGCAAACATCTAAATGGTTGAAAAAACTTACACTATGTTGTATAATGTATTTAATCCTTGTATCTTAGACTTAATTAGAGCCAAGACTAGTTAGGTTAGAGTTTAGATGACGATCATGATAATGATGATTTTAAACATACAAAACACCTAAGAAAAATGACAAGTTCGCTCCGGCAAACCTGCAAAGAAAATGACAAAACGAAAGGGAACGTGGGTCTCACCATTTCTCCGGCAAGTTCGCTCCATCACATCAGAGTGGGAGAAAGGGGGCAAGTTGATTATGGTTTTATTAAGTATGGGCATCTTTAATTTGGCATATGTGGCAGTTAGAGTATTGTGTATATATAGGTTGTTATTGCAGGGACAGTGGCTATATTGGTGTAATGCTGATCTTATATTTTTGATCGCTGACATGAAATTGTTTATGGCTATGCTGTTATTACTATTTAGGCGCACACTACAGTCCCAAAATCGATGAATGTATGCTTTATTATTGAGTATTTGTGTAGTCCCGACCGGCACACAATAGGTTTTTATGTGATGAGGAATACTAACATATATTTTGATTTATCAGTGGTCGTTACTCTGAACTTGAACTCATCTGCGGGGGTCTGTTCATATTTAGTGCATAAATTATAATTAATCTCCAATGGCATGATACTACAACACATACATGGAGCAGTCCTATTTGGGGGTAACCGTAAGGAATTATTAATTATTGAAATTATTATTTAAATATTGTACATGATCTGCTGCTTTACGTAAGTTTTATTTGTGGATGGCTAGTTTATAGTTCGAGTTGCAAACGCATTGAAAATTAGAAAGTAGTGTAGTTTGATGCCTAATTAATGGGTCAAATATCATGTATCGTAGTACATGTCCGAATGCACATACTCGTGGTATATTAGTTAGGAAATATACAATTCAAATAATTTATGACATGTTTTACGTACAGTTTAATGTGTTGATATATACGGTGAACTACATAGTTTTAAATTGCTCTTGTGAATGTTGTAGGTGACACACTTTCCCTGGTCAAGGTTTTCGTTACATCCGCCGCAGTCCCGGACACACCCCTTACTTTTCCGACAATTGCTGGGGCAACTACCTTTCGCGAGGTGGTCGGTGAAGATCCTATTAAGTGGAACTATATGGATGTATGGATCTACTTTCACAACTTTCAAGTACGGCTTCCAAAATTAAAATAATTATTACTTAAACGAAACCTTATTCTGTTCGTAATTGCAGCTCATGCGCCACCCCTGAAGCATATCGACTGGTTCATTTATGTTTTGCCTCTGTTTGCATTATCAATTGCATGTCGTGGATGTGCTTGGATGGTAGATTCTAATGGCTATGTGAAATACCTATGGAATAGATGCATAGACATTTGGATGTATCTTTTGTGTGGTAAGAATTGTTGCTATGGATTAATGGATCTCCCCACTTGCTTATTACTAGGTTGGATGTTTGAAATGCTTGTGTTTGACGGAACATAATGTCGAAGTGGAGATGTTGCTAGCCTTGTTTGATGGGTTAATTTACTTTGTTGTTTGCTGGAGGACATCGACTAGTAAATACTGTTATGTTAATATCCTATGTTGGGATTTCCTTATAATGTTTATTGTTTGCAATTATGGCCGATCGTAATATTTATAGCATGGTTGTGAAAGAAAGATCATAGCGCGTTAATTTGTTACACACAAATTCAATTGTTCCACAACTACTCTTTTTTATGAGACGCTATTTTTTCGTAACAAAAACGAGAAATGACGTAACAAAATGTTGGTTTTGGTGTTTGTTGTTACGACCGGTTCTGTGACCATAAGAATGAATATTTTTGTTAAGGGTTCAATGATGTAACAAAAAAATGAAATGATGTAACGAAAAGTGGTTTTTCAACGTAACAAATATGAAGGGATATTTTTGTTACGGCCGGTTTCGTGACTACAAGAGAATATATTGTTAATTACAGCTTCAATGACGTAACAAAAAATCGTAACAAAAAGCGTACTCTGACAAGGGATCAGAGTAACATTTTTTGGTAACGCGAGGCATTGTTGTAAAAAATATCGTGACTAAAAGACCTGGCACACGTGTGGAAAGCTCGACTTTTTATTACGAGAACAAATTTGTAAAAAATATCGTAACAATAAGCTTGCCATAAGGATAGTTGACCAAGAGTAGTAGTTACGAAAATGTGCGTGGTAAAAAACATTCGTTACGCGAGTACACATTACAGATAAAAGTCGTCACTAAGGCATAGCAAATATGCAAATTGCACGAAAATTGGCTTTTTGTTATGAATTTCCGGCCGTAGCAGAAAACGATTTTTTTGGTAGTGTGATGTGTAATTTTAGCTAGAAAAGTAATAGGAAAAGAAAATAGTGCTCTACGTTATTTACAAAATATAAATTCGGTTCTTTTGGGTTCAGCTTTTCAAACAGAGGGCTTGTTTCATTTCACATGGAAGTCAAGCAATGTTACAACCGTATGTTGAAGATGAATTTTCTTTTGACAAATATTAAAAATCCATGGCCTACGATGGAACTTGGGGAGGAAACCTGGAGTTGCAAGCGGATATTGTTGTCATGCATTGCAACATATGCATTTATAGTGCTTCTTTCTTTCTACCTGTATCATTAATTAAAGTATTATGTTTTCTTTTGGTTTCCATTATCATTAGTTATTCCCACTTATCCAAATGTGTTTACATTTTCAAGTAAAGTAAAAGCTTCTTAAGCGAAAGTATTTTCTTAATATTGTCTCAGAAATTGTAGAAAATTAGAAAATTCGTATCTTTTTTGTGTAGTCTACATCTCCGTGTTTGTACATTCGAAATTTCACTGACAATGAAGCTAAAATAATTCATATGTAAGTGTTTCTATATACACATGAATGTGCACTTGAAAAAGGTTAATTCTAGCACAACTATTATTCTAAGATACATCTGGGATCACACTAGAGAACACTTATAATATATGATGTTAGCCACTAAGGTGTCTTCTTCAATCTAAAGGTAAGTAAATATTTCCTATGTACAACAAAATCTTGTTCATATTCTTTTATTTCCTCTTAAAAATAAGAATATTGTACTGAAAACTTATTAGCATCGGTCAAAATATTTTTATTCTTAATCTATTTTATTATCTTACTTTTGTGTTTGGTAAAATGGTTTGAATTACAGTTTTATGTGAACCATAGTGCTTATCATGATAGATATGATTACGGATATCAATTTTAAGAATAGCTAAGATTGCGACAATCGATTAAATAACTTGTAATGTTTTTAAGATATGGTTATTGCCTTGTTTGAGAATAATGTATGGTTTTAGCTAGAAAAATAATATGGAAAGAAAAGTGTGCTCTACAGTATTTACAAAACATAAATTCAGTTGTTTTGGGTTAAGCTTTTCAATCGGTGAGGCTTGTTTGTTTTCATAGGAAAGTAAAGCAATCTTTAAACCGTTTGTTCATAATGAATTTATTTTGAGAAACATTGCAAATCAATGGCCCACGATGGAACTTGAGGAGGAAACCTAGAGTTACAAGCAGATTTTCTTGTCATGCAATACAACATATGCATTTATAGTGAATATGTTTCTTTCTTCCTGCATCATTAATGAAAGTCTCATAATTTCTTTTGGTTTCCATTATTGTTAGTTATACCTACTTATCCAAATGTCTTTACAATTTCAACTAAAGTAATAGCTTCTTACATGAAGTTATTTTTTTGACATTGTGTCATAATCTTTAGAAACCTAGCAATTTTTCATCTTGTTTGTGTTGTCTACATTGCCGTGTTGTACATTTAGAATTTCACCGACAATAAAGCTCAAATTATTCGTCTGTAAGTGCTTCTATATACACGTAAATGTGCACTTGCAAAGGCTAAATTTTTGCACAACTATCATTCTAAGATATATCTGGGATCACACTACACAACACTTATAATATGTTAGCAACTTTCCTTATAAAATGGTTGATCTTCTAAGGTATCTTCTTCAATCTAATACTAACTAAATATTCCTAAGCACACCAAAATCTAGTTCTAATTCTTTTCTTTTCTCTTCAAAATAAAAAAAATTGTACCAAAAACTTATTGACATCGGTCAAATTTATTTATTATTGATCTATCTAATTATCTTATTTATGTGTTTGGTAAAATGGTTTGAATGATAGTTCTATTTGAAACATAGTGATTATCATGACAGATAAGATTCTGGCCATAAATTTTGAGAATAGTTAAGATTACGGTAATTGATTTATTAATTTGCACACTGTATAGCATATTGTTATTGTCTTGTTTAAGAATGATGTATAGTTTTAGTAAGAAAAGAAATATTGAAAGAAAAATGTGCTCTATGCTATTTACAAAACTTAAATTCGATTATTTTGGCTTAAGCTTTTCAATCAGAGAGGCTTGTTCCATTTCATAGGAAAGTCAAACAATATTTCAACCGTTTGTTGAAGATTAATTCCTTTTGACAAATATTGCAAATCCATGGCCAACGATGGAACTTGGAGATGAAACCGAGAGTTGCAAACGGATTCTCTTGTCATGCAATGAAACATTTGTATTTATAGTGTATGTTTCTTTCTTCTTGCATCATTAATGAAAGTGTCTCATGATTTCTTATGGTTGCCATTATCATTAGTTATACCTACTTATCTAAACGTCTTTACTATTTCAACTAAAGTAATAGCTTCTTACACGAAGTTATATTTTTTATATTCTCTCAGAATCCTTAGAAAATTAGAAATTTCTTATCTTGTTTGTGTTGTCTACATTGCCGTGTTTGTACATTTAGAATTTCACTGACAGTAAAGCTCAAATTATTCGTCTATAGGTGCTTCTACATACACGTGAATGTGCACTTGCAAAGGCTAAATTTTTGCACAACTATCATTCAAAGATATATCTGGGATCACACTGGACAACATTTATAATATGATAGCCACTTTCGTTGTAAAATGGTTTATCTTCAAGGTATCTTCTTCAATCTAAAGCTAACTAAATATTCCTAAGCACACCAAAATCTAGTTCTTATTCTTTTCTTTCCTCTTCAAAATAAGAAAATTGTACTGAAAACATATTAACATCGGTCAAATTTATTTATTCTTGATCTCTTCAATTATCTTATTTTTCTGTTTGGTAAAATAGTTTGAATGATAGTTTTATTTGAACCATATTGATTATCATGATAGATAAGATTCTGGTCATAAATTTTGAGAATAGTTAAGATTGCGGTAATCGATCTATTAATTTGCACTCTATGTAGCATATTTTGATTATCTTATTTGAGGATGGTGTATAGCTTTAGCTAGAAAAGTAATTTGAAAAGAAAAGTGTGCTCTGTGGTATTTACAAAACTTAAATTCGGTTGTTTGGGTTAGCCTTTTCAATTGAAGAGGCTTGTTTCATTTCATAGAAAAGTCAAGCAATGTTTCAACTGTTTGTTGAAGATGAATTTTCTTCTGACTTCTTCTTCTTTTTATAATATAGCACTTTATGAGATTATACTTTATGGTCTAGGGTATATTATTAGTGTTTTTTTTCCGACATCCTTTTCTTTTGATTATATAGCATTTTATGGGATTATACTTTGTACTATATAGTTCTAATTACAGTGTTTTTGTATTTGTTACACAGTGCACATTTGTTTCTTCACTATTTTTTTCTTTTTATTATATAGTGCTTTCTGAGATTATACTTTGTGCATTAGAGTTCTAATTATAGTTCTTTTTGTTTATGTTACCTAGGGCTTTAAGGGAATAAGTTAGTGCTTTTGTTTCTTGACTTCCTTTTCTTTTTATTATACAACAATTTATGAGATTATACTTTGTGCTCTATAGTTATAATTACAGTGGTTTTTGTATTTGTTACATAGTGCTTTAATGGAATTCAGTTAGTGTTTTTGTTTCTCGATTGCCTTCTCTTTTATTATATAACACTTTATGGGAATCTACTTTGTGCTCTATAGTTCTAATTAGATCGCCTTTCGCATTTGTTGCATAGTGTATTTATTTCTTGACTACCTTTTGTTTTATTATATAACACTTTATGGGAATCTACTTTGTGCGCTATAGTTCTAATTAGATTGCCTTTCGCATTTGTTACATAGTGTATTAAAGTAATATAGTTAGCGGTTTTGTTTTTTCAGTGTTTTTCTTTTTTATTATATAGCACTTTATGAGATTATACTTTGTGCTCTAGAGTTCTAATTACCGTGTTTTTCATATATGTTACAAAGTGCTTTCAGGGAATACAATTACTGTTTTTTGTTTCATGACTGCCTTTTATTTCTATTATATAGCACTTTAAGGGATTATACTTTATGCTCTATAGTTCTAATTACAGTGCTTTTCATACTTGTTACATAGTATTTTAAGGTAATATCGTTACCGCTTTTGTTTCTTGACTACCTTTTATTTTTATTACAAAGAACTTTATAGGATTATAATTTGTGCTCTATAGTTCTAATTACAATGTTTTTCGTA